TAGCCTAGATTTCTTGTATTTTTTATTGATTTTAAGCATTTGGTGACGAAATTTGGTTTTCCTCTCTAAAAATAATACATTTGGAGACGAAATTATTTCCTCTCTAAATTTTTTTACAATGGTGACGACAAATTTCATCTCCAAAATGGCGCCAAATCTTCCACCAAATTTTCCAAGGGCGGGAAATTGTTTTGTGACGAAAAATAAAATTTAGAGACGAATAAAATTTTCGTCACCTATTGTTTTATTTGATTTTAAGCATTTGGTGACAAAATTTGGTTTTCCTCTCTAAAAATAATACATTTGGAGACGAAATTATTTCCTCTCTAAATTTTTCTACAATGGTGACGACAAATTTCATCTCCAAAATGGCGCCAAATCTTCCACCAAAATTTCCAAGGGCGGGAAATTGTTTTGTGACGAAAAATAAAATTTAGAAACGAATAAAATTTTCGTCACCTATTGTTTTATTTGATTTTAAGCATTTGGTGACGAAATTTGGTTTTCCTCTCTAAAAATAATACATTTGGAGACGAAATTATTTCCTCTCTAAATTTTTCTACAATGGTGACGACAAATTTCATCTCCAAAATGGCGCCAAATCTTCCACCAAAATTTCCAAGGGCGGGAAATTGTTTTGTGACGAAAAATAAAATTTAGAAACGAATAAAATTTTCGTCACCTATTGTTTTATTTGATTTTAAGCATTTGGTGACGAAATTTGGTTTTCCTCTCTAAAAATAATACATTTGGAGACGAAATTATTTCCTCTCTAAATTTTTCTACAATGGTGACGACAAATTTCATCTCCAAAATGGCGCCAAATCTTCCACCAAAATTTCCAAGGGCGGGAAATTGTTTTGTGACGAAAAATAAAATTTAGAAACGAATAAAATTTTCGTCACCTATTGTTTTATTTGATTTTAAGCATTTGGTGACGAAATTTGGTTTTCCTCTCTAAAAATAATACATTTGGAGACGAAATTATTTCCTCTCTAAATTTTTTTACAATGGCGACGACAAATTTCATCTCCAAAATGGCGCCAAATCTTCCACCAAAATTTCCAAGGGCGGGAAATTGTTTTGTGACGAAAAATAAAATTTAGAGACGAATAAAATTTTCGTCTCCTATTGTTTTATTTGATTTTGAGCATTTGGTGACAAAATTTAGTTTTCGTCTCTAAAAATAGTACAATTGGAGGCGAAATCTTATTTTCATCACTAAAAACACGACACATGGAGAATTTATTAACGACGAAAAGAATTTATTATTGGTGACGAAATATTTTCGTCTTCCATAACTTATCCATCGCAGACAAAAATATATTTGTTGCCTAATAAATGAAAATATGCAACGACATCGTTTAATAGGTATGGAATTTATTGGCAACGAATTACGTTCATCACAAAAAAAATTATATTTTGTGACAAAAATGTTTGTCTCCAATGAGCTAAAATAATTCGCGCCAATGCAAATGAAATTGGCGCCTCATTTTTGCACACGAAATTTTGTTTTCGTCTCCTATACTTTTGAGAAAAATTAAAACAAACGACAAAATTAATATTTCGTCATCTTTGGGTTAAATTTTAAGACAAAAAAAATTTCGTCACCAAATTTTGTCACAATAGCCCAGATTTCTTGTATTTTTTTTTCTTGTTTAATTATTGTTATTATTTTTTCTTTTTGTGGAGAGGGGTTTATTGTGAGAAAGAATAGTAGCTTTGCACAAAATGTCGTCTTGGATAATAATGTTTGCATGCTTGGTGATGAAATTTGGTTTTCCTCTCTAAAAATAATACATTTGGAGACGAAATTATTTCCTCTCTAAAATTTTTTACAATGGTGACGACGGATTTCGTCTCCAAAATGGCGCCAAATCTTCCACCAAATTTTCCAAGGGCGGGAAATTGTTTTGTGACGAAAAATAAAATTTAGAGACGAATAAAATTTTCGTCACCTATTGTTTTATTTGATCTTAAGCATTTGGTGATGAAATTTGGTTTTCGTCTCTGAAAATAATATAATTGGAGGCGAAATCTTATTTTCATCACTAAAACATGCATATTTGGAGACTAAATATTTTTTCGTCACGCGTTTTTGTCACCATAGACCTTTTTTGTTATAGTGAATTAAGATGAGGCGAGGGGTATAGGCCTTTTTGTTCAGGTTACAAAACCACTTGGGCACCTTGTAAATAGAAGCGCTTGACATGAAATTGCTATTTTCTACACCTCTTCTGATGTTGTTGAGGATCTCTTCAGGCATAATTTGCTACTTTTTTTTTGTTGTTTTTCCTTACTTGGCGGCGGTGGTAGGGCAGAAATATTATGATGGGACAACATCTGGATGTAATTATTTTATCTAAAGCAATGCTTTGGTGAAAGAAAATGGTTTGGGGTATACGGGGAGTTTATCCCTTACCAGGTTCTCTATATGTAGTAGAGGGAAAACGGTTTTTTGTTTTCATCAACAAAGAAGAACTTTATTGATGAAAATCAACCGTATAAGCAAAGAAAATGTTATCTTACATGAATTTCTGCCTCTCCAATTCTATCGAAAAATGAGGTGGGTACAGACCATTTAAAATTGATGAGTTGTAAGTCAATATAATTGCAGTTCATAAATGTAATTTTTTTTGAGTAACTTTTTAACAACAGTGTTATATTCACACAATTTCTCCTTCTCAAAATCTCTCGAATGAGGTGGTAAAATAAAATAAATGTAAGGAGAATTTTGAGAGAATATTATATGTGGATTAACTTTTCAAATTTTACTTGCCATGTCATTGGGTAATTATTCAGTAATTCTGGAGTATGGACACGTGGTATTTCATAATATTATATTAGTGGAGAAGGTGGATATGTAAGGTATTGTGTTGAGTGATTGGGGAACAGACATACTAAATGATGATTGATAATGGAGTATAAACACGTGGCACTTCGGGAATATTGAATATTGTAAGTCAATATAATTGTAGTTCATAAATGTAATTTTTTTTGAGTAACTTTTTAACAACAATGTTATATTCACACAATTTCTCCTTCTCAAAATCTCTCGAATGAGGTGGTAAAATAAAATACATGTAAGGAGAATTTTGAGAGAATATTATATGTGGATTAACTTTTCGAATTTTACTTGCCATGTCATTGGGTAATTATTCAGTAATTCTGGAGTATGGACACGTGGTATTTCATAATATTATATTAGTGGAGAAGGTGGATATGTAAGGTATTGTGTTGAGTGATTGGGGAACAGACATACTAAATGATGATTGATAATGGAGTATAAACACGTGGCACTTCGGGAATATTGAATAATTTTCCCATGTCATTAGAGAGTTTGTGGAGAAAAAATTGTATGGGTAAATCATTTTTTATGTTTTAAATATGTATTGTTCTTACACGCGCGCGCGCACACACACACACACACACACACACACATATATATAGGTCTAAATGTGATACATTTTTGATTTTACATCAAAAAGATTTGAATGATGAATTAGATGAGTTGAACTTGAAAACCATAATAGGGTTATTTAGGATTGTAGAGTTTTAAATTGATCAAATGATAATTTTGGAGATAAAATGTGAGCTAGTAAGCAATTTTATAAGCGTCCTTCGAAAACGCAATGAAGCTGAAGAAACATTCACCCTAAATGAGTTGAGTTGTCCACTTTTCTCACCAAGTATACTACAACAAAAACACACTTTAGTGACATTACATTAGTGGCATGTTTTTAGAAAATGCCACAAAAATAATATTTGATAACACGTTTTAGAAAAATGTTACTGAACCACAAACATAAAAGGCTCTAATGGCATTTCAATAATGAAATGTCACATCACTATAATAAAAATGTGATCTAGTATAGCATCAATTTTTTGACATTTTATAAAAGAATGACACAAGAAATTGTTTTATTGACATTTGTCAACAGATGTCACTAGTGTTTAGTAGCAATGGCATTTTTTTTAAAAATGTCACTAAATTAGGTAGGTGCAAGTTACTTTTTACGGCATTAGGTGAAAAGTATCATAAACAAATATTTTATAGTATTTTGAGAAATGCCACTAAGTCAAACTTTCCAAGCTATCTAATGGCATTTTTTGAAAAAACAAAAAATGCCAATATATTTTCAAAATTTTTTAAATGCATAAAATAAATAAATTAAACTCAATATAATATGTTTTTTTAACCGTACTTACCACGTGTACAAAATTGATCAATGACTTTATATGAATTAACAGGAAAAATAAAATTTCAAATTGCTCTCCTGTACAATGATAAAGTTTCTTGAATTTTAGTCCATATAGTTTTAATTAACTCGATTTTGACTTTGAATTTACGGATTTATCTCAATTTATTTCAATTGCTTATAATTTTTGGGTAAATTACATCAATAATCCTTACATTTTGTTGTTGAATATAGTTTTAATTGACTCGATTTTGACACTTAATTTTAGATTTTATGTCAATTTAGTCGAATTGATATCATCTTTGGAGTCTTTGATAGAAAATTTTCATTGGATTGAATTGACCAAGTATTTTGTTTTACTCCTAAAACGATGACTCGTTGCATTTGTCATTAAAAAAAATGCTATCAATTGGACCAATTTGAGACCAAAAAAAAAAAATTCAAGGTTAAAATCGATTCAATTGAAATTATAAAATCTAAAATGAAATAATAGCCAAAATAGAGGGACTAATAGTGTAATTAATCCTAATTGTTAGCATTTTTTATTGACAAATATATATATATATATAAGTGACATGTCATTCGTTTAGAGGCAAAATAATAAATTTGTTTGGTGCGTTAACCTCAACAATTTTTTTAAAAAAAAATTTTTCAAAAAAAAAAAAAAAAACATCAATAGTGAATAGGGCAGCCATCCATTTGAAGAGGATGGACCAACCAAACAGGGGGGATAGGGATAGGGATAGGGATAGGGATAGGGATAGGACCCGCCCACTGAATTGTCTCAACACGGAAGTATCTCTTACCCACCGTGTGAGCCACATTATTCAAAGCTCGACGGATAAAGTGAAAAAGGACTTTTGAGAAACCATGGTAGAGGTTCAGGATATCTTGCATCACCATGAATATAAAGGGTTAGTTGTGATTTATTATTATTGCATTTATGTTGTGATTTTATATAATACCTTGTAAGTGTTTGTTTAAATGTTTCAGTGAGATTTTACATTATTTTGTTCTTCTTTTTTTTAAAAAAAAAAAAAAAAAAACCTTTTTCTGTTTGTAAGCATGAATAAGATGACAAAATAATACTAATCTCTATCGACATCATCACTTGAAGAAATATTCTAAAGTCCTATCTGCGTGTGTGGTTTTTTATTTATTTATTTATTTTTATATATATTAGTAATCATGGTATTTCTAAAAGTCTCGATACTGTTATAGAAAATTGATTATATTATACCCTATCCATTTTTTGTTTTTTTTAATACCTAAAATGGCAGTCTCAAAATAGTTGATTTATAATCTAATTACATTGTTTCCAAAGTTAGTGATTCCAAATTGAGATCATCTCAAAACAATTGATTACTGTCTATTTTCATTTGTTTCCAAGTAAGGAATACTACTTGTTAGAATTGTAGAATATCCTGCAAGTTAATTATGTTTATTATAATTTTGTTGCTTGATTCCAATATTGATATGTTCCAATTCTTTTTGTGGCTATTATGTTCTTCTTTACATTGAATGCCAAGCATTGCCTAATGCTGCATCTACGTTGGTGGAAAGAATGTTGATTAGTGTCTGTTTTCATGGCATGTAGATTTATGGGTCCACATAACATACAAGACTATATACTACATGCCATTAATCTTTGGATAAGACCAGGGATACCTTATTAAATCTGTAATGTGAAATCATATACACACAATACAAATCTAAACTCATTTTCTTAGGTGTAGACAATACATCAAGAGTCAACAAAATAAAACTCACAGAAAAACTGCAAATTACATAACATACCATGTTCAAAAGGGCAGCAAAAACTGGAACACAAACATATCTATCCCATTTTACCGTCATCCCTCCAGGTAGTTCCAGCAGCAAATGCTAAAACTTGTAACAGTAAATTTCAGGGGGAGTCCCTTTTCTGATAATAAGTAAAAAGAAAAATACTTCCAATAGTAAACACAACTACTTTTAGAGGGAACCATTTTGAACCATATGGTTAAAAGTGGAATCAAAAGTGATTCTAAATAAGAACTATGGTAAAGGTTATGGGTGGAACAGGGGAGGGTTTGGTAAAGTCTTTGAACCCGGCCCCATTAAGGTAATCACTAGGGGAAAAAAAAGACTCATTTAATTATTAAACTTTATATATATATATATATAGAAAAAAAAAAATTGGTCATTAACTTGAAATCAAAATGTAAGTACACCACAAAAAAAGTTTCAAAAAATATAATATTTGGACATAATCATATATAGTTGAACTGAACTTTCTTCTTTTTTTTTTTAATAAATATTGTGCCCCTTTCAAACTACACCATAATGATTCATACATAACTCCAATTTTGTACAATGCTTTCTCCACATTCTCAAATTTCCACTACCATTTGAATTGCTATTAAAATAATGATATTGCATCGACTTTGTAATACTTAAATTCTTTCATATGTTTTCCCTTGACATGAGTTGCCTTATAGTTATGCACCAACATATTGAATATGTTATGTTCTACATTGTTGTTAGTATCTTATAGTTCTTGCAAAATCAAGTTTAGTTGTTTTTGTCAATCGTAACTTACAAATAGTTGTTATTGATATATGCCTTCTAATTGAGGTTGGTGATATTGACGGACGGGTTGAGATGGTTTATATACTCGTTGAGATGGTATTTTTTGCGGTTTCCTCACCCTTGCATATATGAATGTTTTTTTTTTCTTAATTTTCACTTTAAAAGGCTTGCATAGTTACATTAAATTGATTGAAGCAAGGTAGAATATTATATGGTCAGAGGGCATCTTTCAATTTGATATCATTCCACATGTCAGACCTTTAAGTCCTCTAACAAACCCAACCAGGTATGGCTAGCAAACCATTTAAAAAGGAATGTCAAGAACTTTTTCCCACAATAATTTATTAAATTGCTATCCGATGAACTATCTTAAAATTGCAGAGTTGTTCTATTTTTGGCCTATGGATAGAGATAAATAATATTAATCAGTAAATGCATAATATTTTTTATTATTATTATTTTGTTTACGAAAGGTAATGTTTTAGATAATCACTAGTCGGGTGGGATTATAACATGTGGTGTTGCGATTCTAAAATGAGGGTATTGCTTGATACAGTGGCTGTCAAAGATTCACAATCCTTTTCAATTCTGTTAGGTTAAATTCAATTAATTTGACACCTGTGTATCAGGGGGTAAGAAGGTATGAAACAATGAAACTGGAAATCTCTAACTTTTGCATCAGCATGCTAAGTTTATTCTCTCTACTCATGTTTCAAAAAAAATAAAAACACAAAAAAAACAAGCGTTTTTATCATTTCCATCAGATTAACCATTACATGCAACAAGTTGTTATGCTAAAAATTTGTAAAAATTGTTTTATGGAGAAGTATACATGAGTTGAAGGAATTAGTGCAGCAAACTTCACATCTCTTCTACAGAAGACAGTGGATAGTATACTTACTTTTTGGTGATATAATTAAGCATTTGACAATTTATTTATTTATCTATTTATTTTAGAGTAGAAAGACATGTTAGAGAGCTGATGAAATTGGCATTGATTTAAATTGGACTGTCCTTGAACTAAAATGCCTTGGCACCGGGGCATCAAGTTGCCAAAGTTGATTTATATGGGTTAGACAATGCTTTCACTCGGTTCAACTTGATACTCACAATAATACTTGAAAATCTAAAATCTCGGAGATATTGATTTGTGATTATGTATCAATTTTAATCAGTAAATATCAATCCCAATCAAACAATCAAAGACAAATTGACACACTGATTTTACGTGGAAAAACCATAATTGGAGCGCCTCCAATTGTGATTTAAAAAAAAAAAACCACAAGTAAAAGCCACAAAACAATTCACTAAGAAGACACATAGGAATTACACAAGTGTACTCTCAATTACTTAGCGAATCCACGCCCGAATCGAACCAACCCCTATATGCCTCTTCCACCACCGTCTTCACCTCAGAATTGTCTTGCCCAGCGTTGAATCCACAACGTCAATGTCGAATCCACGGCGATGAGCTACTTCGGAATCTACGAAAGCTTCAGGCTCATGTTCCACAGAATCCACCGAAGAACAACTCTCTCTTTTGAATAAAACAAACTAAACAAACACTTTGATATAATCCACTCAATTCATGATTAAACTCTCACAGATATCCAAGGAAACAAGCAAAGAAGCTTAAGATGAAAACCCTAATACCCAAGAAGAAGATCTGGAAGTCGTAACCCTAAAATCTGATAAAATCGCAAAACTTCTAGGACCAAACTCCTCTGAAAACTTCTAGGACCAAACTCATAGCGTCACTAAAATAAAAGAACAAATAAAATTACAACTGAAAGAAATTTTGTCAAACAGGATTGCCTAGAACAAAAACCTAACAATACTCTTTCTGTCTTTCACATATTTTTGCACAAATTCTTTTACATGTTTTCCCTTGACATGAGTTGCCTTATAGTCATGCACCAATAAAGCAAACCAAGACACAACAATGGATGCTATGGAAGTTGAAAATTCGGGGCTAAGGTCCAAAGTTTCCCATGTTAAGCATGCTCTGAATAACTTGACAAACACATCTAACCAGGTAAATTTTTAAATAGAATTTATAAGTTATTAATGTTTTCCTACACATATATATAAATACATATATCTATGTGTGTGTGTGTTTGTAAAATTAATTAGTTCAAATTTGCTTAGGTGACAACAGCTTCTAGTCCTCTTGACATGGCAACAAGTATGGTCCTTGTCATCGATACAAGATGCCTATCTTAATCAAGTACCCACTAAGAGCTAATCATATATATATCACATTACTTCTAGCTTTATTTTAGAATAGCATGCAAAACTTGTCTTACAATTAACCAATGAATGAATATTGTGGACCTAAATTCCATTGTTTAAATCTAGACAAAATGTGCTACATAATAAAAATCATGACATAACAAAGCTTGTGCTTTTTTTGATTTTTTATTTTCATTTTCTTGTGAAGCTTCAACAAGACATCTCTAGATAATTTATTACCGCATGGACTCTTTTTGATTCCCTTGAAATCTTGCTTGAAAGTAATTAATTGATTGTCATTTTTTACAATTACATTTGATTTACATTATTGAGTTTAGGGGATCCTGATATTGATAATGGGCATGGTTTTGATTGTTATTGATTGGTGCCTTTGGTTGTTATTGATTTTTTAAGCTATTGTTTTATATGATCTAAAGACTTACGGTTGTTACTTTTATATAATTTATTGTAGTGTGGTGAACCAATTAAGTGATTAAATCATGCGGCTTGCTTATCTACTAGAGAAATGCATATCACTTTCAGTTGTGATCATCTTTACTCTAGCACTTTATACTAGTTTATTTTTTAAATATTATTTATTAATTGTAAATATATAATTACTGAAGTAGTTAAATCTTGATTTATAGGTGGGGGATATCGTTGTTCTAAAAAGTATCATTAGGCCAACAAAAACAGTTGCAATCGGAGTACTTAAAAGCACAGACCTATCTAAAGAAGTAGAAGGGGAAGAACTAGGACCTAACTATTGAGAGATACATGTTCAGGTGCTAGTCAAACCTAATAAGAGCTTGAAATGGTATATTTCTTTCGTAAATACTAATTTCATTAACAAATTTATATTAACTTAATATAGTTTCAATTACCTTTATATGTTTATCTTTTGGATGCAGATTTCGCAAGTTATGAATGCTAACCAAGAATATTTATACAAGTGAAATTTGTTTTGATAATTTGTCTCTCCGGAAGACGGATGCCACTATGGGCTTTCAGAACTTATGGTTGGAATAATTTTATTTTAATTTTTTTTTGGCTTTAATTTTTTAGTGTGGTAGAATATTTTATAATTTTGATTATGATTTTTGTTGCAATATAAATAAATTTATATTTTTAGATAAAAAATGATTGTGGTTTGAATTTTTTTGTTTTTTTTTGTTTTTTTTGAATTTTTTTGTTTTTTTTTTTTTGTTTTTTTTTTTTGATGTGATCATCGTATGGTGGTAATATTTGTTTATTATTATGAAAATATTATAAGATGAATAGATGTCAAATTAATATAGAATGTGACAATTAATATTCAATTTCTTATAAAATTGATTCAATTTTTACAAGCATTTACGCATACTTAATTGTGGCTTTTAAAAGTGTCAATGACAAGAACATATAAGTGACATTTTGTAAAAGTGGTAGTAATTTTGCAAAATGTCATTAGAATAAGCTCCAATGGCACTTATATCCATTTAATGGCAGAAATGAATTGGATTTAGTGGCATTTATGAAGTTGTTAAAAATATCAATTGTGGCATAACAAGCGCCATTAAAAAGCCATATAGTGACATTTTTTAGATTGCAAGTCTTCTTTAATAGCATTTGATAGCGTCACGAATAGTGTCTACCATGATATTAAAGTGTCACTGAAAGTCTTTAGCCTTGGTAGTGTAATGGCACTTACAAATGTCATTGAAGTGCTACTAAGCCTTTTTTTAATGGCACTTGCTAGTGTCACAAATAGTGTCTGTCATGACTTCAAAGTGTCATTGAAAGTCTTTAGCCATGATGGTGTAGTGGCACTTGCAAGTGTCACTGAGGTGCCACTAGTATCTACCATGGCACGTGTATAAATGGCACTTGTTTAGTCCCTAAATGTTGTAGTGATTACTAATGTTCAATTTTGTCCCCAAATTTTAGTCTGTAAAACCTTAATTTTTTGTAGTGCCAACAACATTTTTATGATATATGTTTTGCATTTTTTTTGGTAAACATTACATATTTTTTCTAGTAGAATTACAAAAAAAAAAAAAAAAAAAATTGTGATTCAAAAATTGTGGTAATGTTACATATTTTTTAGTTAGAAAATGTTTAATTAAACAAATGTGTAACAGTGTCACAAAAATATGTAACTTTATTTTTGTACCACAAATTGTCATAACTTTACCAAATAATTACGTGATTGTTGGCTTATTTTTCCTATGAAGGAAAATACTATAAATGTGAGTGTGTTAGCAAGGATTGAAAAATCTTTACAGATTAAATTCAAGCCAATTATCAAGCAATTGTGTTGACGGTTCTGTTGCCTCAATGAAGAGGACTTCAAAATTACCAAGTGTAGAGAAAAGAAAAATTAAAAGAATGAGGAAGACGGAGAAAGTTGATTGAGTGAACAGTCAAGGTGATTGAGTGAATAATCAAAGTAACAATTAATTACCTTTACTCCTATGCTTTGAAAATGAAGTGCATAAAATTACTTCTACTTCTTTGCTTTGAAAATGAAGTGTTGAAAATAAAATACAGAAAATATAAATGACAAGAAAAAATAGAAATCAATGGTCTTTAATTTGAGTTTGATCCCTTTTACAATGTAGCCATGAGTTGCTATTTATAGGCAAACATTTGTAGGAGAAAAACTACCTACTAACTACCATATCCTTACATCTCCCGCACTTCACACTCCATGATCTTCCACTTCATCTTTATGTTTATAGAACTTCCTTTAACCTTCAATTCATGTTCCATGTTCTCCACTTTGTCTTCCATCATCTTTTCACATATGTTTAATGATTCATAACTTCTTATAACCTCCAAATGAATAGGAGAGTGCTACATGTCCTACAATTATATGGATAATAACTAGTAATAAAATTATTTATTTATGGTGCTAACATTACCCCCCGCAACTCTTTCAGAATGAGGAACCTCAAATTCATGAAGAGTTGTACATCAATTTAGACTACATTTCACAATTAATTAATGTATTCGAAGGAAGACACGCATTTGAAGGTTCTTTTAAAATGATTCAATTTTGTTATATAAATAAATAAATAAATAAATAACCAAAACCTTGCTCCAAAAGTGCTTACAGCATATTTTAGAAGCTTCAAAAGAACAATGTTTAAATATTATTGTTTTATTAGCCATTTCATCAAAATTAAATTTTAATGTAGCCCACAGATCCAAAATAGGTTTTGAACACCGAAAATCATGGCATAATAAAACCATGGAAATTCAAATGCTTTGACATTTTCAACAATGTCAAATATTTTAAATCATCAACAATGGGTTGATCATCATCTTTAATCACGTTTGGTCTAAGAACATGTTCTTTGGCCAAATAACTTTTATCATTCATTGACAAATTGGGCTTTTTTTTTCTTTTTCTTTTTCTTTTTTTTTTTAATTTTAGCCATTAATGGCTTGTAAAAATCCTCCATAGACATGTTATCTCCATGGTTGGACTTTCTAAAAATGAGTCTTTCAACCCCCAAGCCTTATATGGAACATCTTTTTTAACCATGTTTGGTTCAACAACAAGCTTTTTAGCCATGTTATTTTCATAAGTTAGCTCTTTAAAAATGGATTTTAACCCCCCGAGCCATTGATGAAATCAACTCTTTCCTTTTGCCATTTTCAACAATGAAAGAATTCTAAAAAGTTCACCAATTTCGGCCATTAAACCCTCAGTTAAAGACTTGGTAGTAAGAGTTGACAACTCATCATTCCATTGGCGAACTTCCTTGTCAAGTTCATGAATTTCTCCAATTAAATCATGTCTTTTTTTCTTCCACCAAATAATATTGTAATGTATGGAAGTTTGTTAATTCATCAAGAAAATTGATCTCTTCTTGAAGATCCAAAATTTTTTATCTACGCCCAAAGATTCCATCTAAGCTATTTGGAATAGACGAATCCAATTCATTTTTCATTTCTTACACTTAACATTCCACTAGGTGTGCCAAAACATTGTTGGCTTATTTTTCCTACGAAGGAAAATACCATAAATGTGAGCGTGCTAGTAAAGATTGAAAAATCATTACAAATGAAATTCAAGCCAATTATCAAGCAATTGTGTTGACAGTTCTTTTGCCTCAATGAAGAGGACTTTAAAATTGCCAAGTGTAGAGAAAAGAAAATTAAAAGAAGAAGAAGGGAGACGGAGAAAGATGATTGAGTGAACAATCAAAGTAACAATTAATTACCTACACTCCTATGCCTTGAAACGGAAGTTCATAAAATTACTTCTACTCCTATGCTTCAAAAAGGAAGTGTTGAAAATAAAGTGTAGGAAATATAAATGACAAGGAAAAATAGAAATCAATTGTCTTTAATTTGAGTTTGATCCCTTTTACAATGTAACCATGAATGGCTATTTATAGGCAAACATTTGTAGGAAAAAAAGTACCTAATAACTACCATATTCTTCCATCTCCCACACTTCACACTCCACGATCTTTCATTTCATCTCTATTTCTCCATAACGTCCTTCAACCTCCAATTCATGCTCCATGTTCTTCACTTTGTCTTCCATCATCTTTTTACATGTGTTTAATGATACATAACTTCTCATAACCTCTAAATGAGTAGGAGAGTGCCACATGTCCTACAATTATATAGATAATAACTAATAATAAAATTATTTATTTGTGGTGCTAACAATAATATTTACCACAAAAACACATAACATACACTATAAAAATACATAACAAGTACATATGATACAATAATCCTTTCTCTGTAGGGTCCGTATTTGTTTTCTTATGTTCATGATCTCTTTCTCTCTTAACTAAAATCTAAGGAGATAACTTAAATCATGGAGAGGGGAGGCTGGACTCCAGTTCTTAGAAGAAGAAAGTTGGATAATCAAGCTAGTCGATTCAGGAAAAGGAGTTGGTTACTCTGTTTGTGGATCAAATACCAGAATCCATGAATCCTAAAGGTTTGTGTGACGCCCCACTCCCAGGTCGTTAAATACACTAAAATAGCCTAAAAAAAAATACAAGGTTTGCTCCCACAAATAATAATTACAAAATCGTCTCCAAATGGTACAATATCCTCCAAATATTCTAATTACCTCCAAAATAAGCAATATTACAACTATCTTCAAATTTAATAATTACAGTGGTGAGTCCCAAATCTCTATATTAATAAATCTTTTTAATCTCAATTTTGAGCTCTACTAAAATCTGCTTCGCACCTGAAAAATAAATTAATTCGGGAAGTATACAATACGACGGGAATACAAGGCTCGGATACAGAATAAATTAACAGAAACCCAACAATTTATGACACTAAATCAACGATACGATAATCAAGCAATTTACCAAATTGCACAACAAATCAACCATAATTTATCTAGACCAAACACTCAGTCCTACTCAGTACATGACCAGTGAATAAATTCATTTATTCACCCACCTCACCCAAGCTCCACGCTTATCCGGGCATATTGGTGTAAACAATTAATAAGATTCACTCGATCCATGTACGGAGTATTTCCATGTCATTCAGCCAGACAAATCACCATTTAACACAGAAATATTTGTAGAGAATTTTACCAAACGATCAGAATATCAACGATTCAACAACGAACGATTTTACGAAATCTATTAATAACCACATTAATCAAGTGGATTACAAATTGAGGATGATTAAAAATATAGAACTCTTTGCAAAGAGATTTAAATAGAGCATATTGTATACAACCCGAATTTACCTCAAAATGATTAATTCCATCACCATAAATCTGAAATTGCTCCATGGATCTCCAAAAATAATTCTGATCTCTTGTAAAATTACTAACTCTCAATTTAAATATTCCTATGTCTAAACTTAAAATTTACATCACAAATGGAGAGAGAGTTGAAAGTAGGAGAAAAGGAAAAAAATAAGAGACAAATGAAATTGAGTGTTCGTAGAAAGGAGGCGAAGAGGGGTTCAATTTATAAAAAAAGCAAATGGTTGGTTTAGGGTGATAGGTGGGAAAACTGTGGGTAGCCCACGGTTTTGTCTTTTTTTTTTTCTTTGTTTTGGTGGCAAGTCAGGGAAGTGAGGAAAC